ATGGATGTGTTAAATTGTAATTCAATATTAAATCATATTTCTATACAAAAAACAATTCTGATCGAATCCGGGAGTAAGTCGAACGTTAGAAGAGAACGATACATCAAAATTACACTTCAAATTACAACACTGCAACTTGCAGTTTACAGGGCGATTCACCAAACAGGCTCAACACCATGTTTCCATTAATAATGAAATTAATAATCAAGTTCTTATTGTTTTGAATATTTTAAACACCTACATCACTTTAAGACTATTTTTCAAAATTCTTTAAGGAGTGTTATGTATGATATCCACTTCTGTTTTTGAAATGAGATTCCTCCCTCTTTTTACTGTCAATTTTCAAACGGATATTTTTTTTTGGAAAAATGTAATGTTCCTAATTCAAATATTAACCGAGTGCCTTAGTTAGTTAAGTGTTTAAATTAACGACAATAGTTCAAAAAAATAGTATTTATACTAGAACAATTTTTACGAATTTTGTATATTTTGATAGATTAATATTAACAATTGTTAATATTTTCGAATTACCATATCCTCCAAAGCAATTATTGCAGACCTATAAACCAGTGATCTTAAACAAAAATTACGAAGGAGCCATATATATATTTACGTCAAAGATTTGATGACAAAATACCTATTCCTCATATTGTTTACAAATCCAACATAGAAGAACAGAATTACAACTAGTAAAAAAATATGCGTAATCCCATTTTTATTGTAGAAAACTTCCATCTTGACCAATTTTACGTCGAACACCTGACATTTTAATGAACGAGTAACGTACGCTGACTAGATTTAAGAACTGAGTACAACAAGCACCCGTACCTACAAGTGAAAATCATGTTTGAATTAAATTCTTATTGGAAATTGCTCATATGAATGCGAATGTAAAATGTATAAAATATTTCATACAATTTAAAAAAAAAATTAAAATTTTTGAAGAAATAAATATTTATTACAGGCTACATCTAAACGGCCGCTTATTTGAGACCACTATATTGAACTATACTGGGTACGTAAAGTTAAAAATCTCAAAAACTACTAGTTTGAATTCCAATAGAATTATCTGGTAAATAATAATTTTATAGTAAAAAAAGATAGATGCTCTTATTTGAAAAACATAATTTTGTTTCTCCACATGACACTTCCTAAGTAATATAAAAAAACTTTGAGAATTTTAAAACAAGATAGGTATTCTTTTAAGTAGGTACCTATATTTAAAAATTCCAAAAATTCCATTTTTAAGTACTCTACCTTATCGAAGCAAAAATAAGAGGGAGCATGCTTGATGAATCAAGCTTTATATGCATATAAAATATCAAAAGAGCGGTAAATATAGTTCTTGAGTACAGGAGCTGTTGTAGAATGGTAAAGGGTGGGGTGGGTGGGGTCTGTCTTCGATAAAAAAAAAATAATTTCTCAATACATCGAAAGAAGTCGTATAATAATATATTGTATCTACAATATAAAATGTATTATTATGTATATAATAATAAAATATATAGTTGGAGTAGAGGGATATGGAGAAAAACGTGTTTACACCCATGAACCGATATATCATAAAATATGCTCTTCGTATTTAGAACTCGTTCATTACTAAAGACACACGGCACAAGTATTGTCCAAGTGACATATTCAATAATAATATAAGGACTTGTCCCCGCCGATGACGGTCTGAGGGGGGGTTTCCTCTGAGGATGGCCGGACCCGTTGCGGTTTTTGTGCGCTCACCGGCAGGCATTATAAAATTATGATATTAGTATAATATAATAAGTAATAATGCGATAAGGCAACTTAAACTTTACCGAAAACTAGCGAAAAGCAGATAAACGGCGGTGGCGGTGTTCAAATTATGAATATTATTATCAAACGCTAGCCGCAGAGTGCTGTCGATAATATATACGAAGGTAATTTCTCAATCGGCAAGTGCAATAAATGGTACAAAATACTGTGATAGCTGGTAACGTATTTATTTTATTTTCGCATTGTCCATTTGTGCTGGGGTCATTAGGTGGAGGTCCATCATAACTCATAAGCACAACGTCAAATCTTGAGTTTCGAAAAAGACTGCATGTAAGTAAAAAAATACCAATATGATATATCAGGAAACAACAGAAATATCAGGCTAATAAAAAAATTAATACCAGTTAAATGTATTACAACAATAATTATAAAAATGATATGGGTATTGGATACTAAATAGTTTAAGAAATACAATTATGCCAAGAAATTCCTAAAAAGAACATTTTGAGAAAAATTTTAAACGTTGATAAACGACGATGAGTTATATATTAATTATTATCAGACGCTGACCGTGGTTGATAATACACATAGGTAATTCTTGCCCAACTGGCGAGTTCAATAAGCAGTAAAAAATACTGAAAAGTGACAATAACATTATATAGAGTATAAACAGTACTTGTATACGCATTCAGAAGTATGGGTAATACAATAGTACTATAGAGACAATAGACATGTATAAATTATATAATATGCAAATTATTGCATTATTATGACTAAATGATGTCCCAAATTATAATAATTAAAAACCATAAAAAATTAGTTAGAAAGGAAATTAGAATTTTATTTTTATCTTCCAAATGCATAAGAAAAAAAACATTGATATGATATTGTGCTTACTTTGCTCAAAAAAAATTAAGAATTATTTTTTACTTATAGGTACCTATGAGGAACCTGATTGAAATGTTACTTTGATTTACAAACAAAATAATATTGTCATAATAAGTCGAAAAAAACAAATAAACGTTAAACATTTAAAATGTCACAAATAACTAAAAGCAAATGTCTACGAATAACACAAAAATGATTTGAAAATGATATCATGTCTATGGAATGATAATATAGATAATATATTTTAGTGAAAATGTCCAATCATTAATTATAAACGTTTATCAATGTTGAATTACATCAAAATATCAAAATTGAATTATTCCAAAACAGTATCGCTTATATATTCTCATTGTTTAAATAACTTTTTTTTTTGTTTTCCTGATTATTTTCCAAGCACTTTCAAAGTTTCAGATTGAATCTTTTTAACGCTTCTAGAGATATATGATGGCAGACGTATTACAAAACCATTACACCCATCTCTCCGTTTGTGGATTCATGGTTGAGAAAAATATATTTTAAATTGTCAATTCATATAAATATGTCGATAATATTATGATCGTTGGCAGTACAGTGTGTTAGTACAGTATACCTATGTTACAATATTATGATATTATTATTATTCATAAAAATTTTAATTAATCGGCCTTGTTTACTACGATTTTTAATCATGGATTGTAATACGTGAAAAAAATGCTTAAAAACAAACACCCAGGACACTTAATATTTTTCAACTTACACGAAGCAGCTATGTTTTTACGAAATTAAAACAAAGAAAAAACTGAAAAGTATCCAATTCTCAGTACTTCATTATGAAGCAATAAACATATATTGGTTTACTTGCTGATATTATAATTATATCGCGAGAGCAAAGGCTAATGCAAACACCGACGACGCTGTGCCGTGCACCGCGAGCACCAGACCACAAACGGACTTGCTGCATACTCTTGCCCTCAAATAAGGGGCTTAATGTACTGTTACGAAATGCGTGTGTGCGTGTGTATTTGAGGACGATGCTCATGTTAGTATACATTGTATCATAATAATAATAATATTATACGACACGCATGGTAGGGAGCTAAAGAGTCCTAGAAAACTAAAGTTCAAAATAAGCCGTTGGGCAAACACACCCCACACACCCTCTCCAATCACGAGCGTCACTATACAGTTGAGTAGTCACGGGGAGTTCAGTAAAATCAGAGTTGAAAATATAACCCTTACCCCCGATCATTAAAAATAAAATGTAAACAATAAAACAAGTATAAAATAGTATATTATAATAATACCTTATAATTATTGTTTACGTTTACGTACACTTAAAATGTTTATAAAATACAATTATTGATAATTTATTAATATAATATTCTCTTTCTTCATTAAATATACGATTTATCGTATACATCCATATTATAGCTGTTCACCTAATCTGTTTTGGGTCATAAAATAGTCGACCTGATGTGTATTTCGATACCCACTATATCCTCGTACACTTGGTAAGTCCACAATATTAATATAATATTATTTTATGCACAATATATATATTGTTGTTATTATAATCAATTATATATTATAATTTATAAACAATTATCAACACACATAGAACCCATGACTGTTTTTCTTTTCTTTTATATACACGAAAATTCAGATTTAAAGTACTACAATAAGTAAAAACTGAAAAGGGGGCAGGGGCTTGTGCATCAATCGGGGGTGGTAAGCTCACACCCCACCCCTAGATGACAACACGTACCTATACGGTATAATACAATATAATATTATAATAATATTATATCGTGGGGAAAGACCGGCGATGGGAATATTATTATTACACTCGTCGGCGGCGGCGAACATGTACCTATACGTGTATATAGCCCGCGAGCGCGCGACCGCGCTCGTGTATGCGTGTGCGTGCTGTGCTTTTACGCCCGCGAAACGGCAACGTGGCAACTTATCGACGCGGCGTTGTTAGCGGCCGGGGCCGTCGGCCTGGCGGCGGCGGCGGCGGAGGGCGGTTCGCCGAAGGGATGGCGCGCGCGGTGTCACGGTAGTGGTGCGCCGGGTGAAGGTGGGACGGTGGCGCCCTGGAGGAGCCGCCGCCGCCGCCGCGCGTGCGACTCTCTACCGCGCGAAACGGGGACTTGCCGCCGCGGTAGTAGCGCGCACACAGCAGTCCGGACCTAGTGCGTTTAGACGGTGATACGCGCGTGTAGGCTATAACAACTGCATAATATTATTAATAATAATAATAATAATAATAATAAAAAATAATAATAATAATATAATTATAATAAATTTACACTAACACACATCACACACACATCACACACACACAACACACAAACACTCATAACACACACACACATATATATATATATACATACTAATATTATGTATATACTATGATGTACGCACGCATGAAAATTAAATGTAATCGACGAAATGTTTTCAAATTGAATTAAAATCGAAACCCGTTTGGAATAAGACCAGTGCGTTCTCTCGTCGCGAGTGTGTGCTCCCCCCCCCCTTCCGGGTCGTTTACCACAGTGCGTTTGTGAGTGCGCCCGTTCGTGTGTGTGTATGTTGTGTGTGCGGTGCACTTGGTTCGAGCTCGTCCGCGTGTGAATGCGAGTGCGTGTTGTGTGTACCGCCGCCGCCTCGACAGTGTACTTTCCGTCATCGTGGTGGTAATATTTTAAAAATATTAAAATAATAATCGAATAAGATCGTAACGACGACGACGCCGATCGCCCCCAGACGCCGTCGCGCAAACCGGTGCGGTGCGGTGTGGTCCGGGCGTGTGGCCTGAGCTCCGCAGCCGCCGCCGCCACACACCACCGTCGTCGCACAATCGTCATCGGGCGCCGTAGCGATAAGTTCGGCGCGCGGTGACGGTGAAGACGTCGACGACGACGACGACCGTAACGACGTCGTCGACGACTGCGACGACGACGACACCGCTGCGTTCCGTGTCTCCGGCGCTGTAGCTGCCGTGGCAACGGTCAATGGACGATAGCCGGCGCACCGGCCCGACAGGAAGATGACCGCCGGACCCGATGACCTCGAACTCCTAGCAAAGGTCAGTTAGTTGTAGTAGTCAGTTGGTCCCGCGCTCAACCCGACCCGACCGATTCGCACGACTCGGCTGAGCTATTTTTTGAGCTATTTTTACAAAGATACCTACGATATTGTTAATATAGTACATATTATTGTGTACGTGCTGCAGAGGCTCAAATCGTGTCTTGAGGCACTACTAAACATTTACCCGCCGCGGCACACACCCACCATATCATTGTCAGGCTTATGAGTTAATCATAATGTACATAATATAAAGTAATCTTTACCTGCACCTTGTATAAATCCCCATGCATCCCTACCACCAGAGTTATTTTGAGAGGGTAGCGACTAGTGACGCTCAAGTTCCCGGGGATTTTCAGCACTCGTATAAGTATATTAAGTAGCAGATACCGTTGCTGCTTACTATCACGGTCGATGCGCTGCAGAATCGGCGGGAGGAAGCTGCATGTTATTTAGTGCAGGTCACTCATAGGATAGAATTTTGGTTTGCTCTCGATTACATACGACTCGATCGTATAGTCGCAAACGGTATAAAAGTAGTAAGAAGTTCGTTTCTGTCCGTGAAATCGTAATGATATTATGAATGAAGTATAGGCAGATGTAAAAATGTACTATTATATTAAAGTTACGATAAAATAAGTACCCGCATAATATATAATATAATAAGTGCGCGTGATGCATACACGCGCGTATTTAACCATTGAACCGCGTGCCGGAAAACCGTTTTACTATCACTCCGTTATCATCGTTCACCGCCGCCGACACCAAAAACACCCCTTTCACCCCTACCCTCAAACAACGCACGGCCCCACCCCGAGCAGAAGCGACCGTGTTATCGCGGTGTCTTTCGCCACCGCTGCCGCCGCTACCACACCAAAATCCTATCCTGTGGCGGCGTGCAATAAGAATAACGATCTTGGCGCGGGGGGGAGTAGCGGCAGCGGCGTCCGCGAGGGGCGGACGCACGAGAGGAGTAGACGAGTGGGAGAGCCAGAGGACGTGTCGTTTTGCGGCAAATTCCAGCTCTACTCAGCTGTATCCTACAGTATCTCTCAAAACGATTATCGCGTGTTTAATTAATAATATATTTTGCTCTGTCGACCACTCGTCCGACCATCATCCCAGCGCAACACACGCATACATAATTATCTGAACCCTACGCCCTACTAGTTATATTGTAATATTATACGAGTATACAACTCTTGTATATGATAATAGTACATTGTGAGCGTTAAAACTTAAAACTTACGAGTGTCCAAAACTACTGGCATCCGCCGAACCTACAAGTTGGGGTAGCTGGTTGCGATTAATTTTTTCTCATTCAAAAAATAAACTGTACACACAATTCTAGTATTATAATACGTTTTATAATACAGAGAAAATTGGCGGATTGATGGAAAAAGGTGGATTTAACAACATTTCGATTATAATTTATAACAACTAAAATAAAAATGCCCGGTTAGGAAACACTGGCTGATATATTGTGTTTATGGTATCATAATAATATTTATCTATTATTATTACGAAATTGGCTAGAATTAAAAATATTTCTCTGTGAGAATAAGGTTCAAGGTCCCATTATCATCAATATTGTCAATACTCAATTTATTACATTATCACTATTATGTCGGCTCATTATTTCATATTATTTCGGGTTATACGCATCTAAATACGTATAGTTCAATATTGTGTTCAAAATATCACTTATATATTAATGGTAATTTTCTTTTAAATCTTACTTCATTTTTACATATTTTCTATTTACCTTTTAAAAGAGTTTCAATGTGAAAAAATGTAACATTATGTAATATTGAACAGTACAGATATTAATTATTATTAAGGTATTGAAAAATTGCTTACCTACAAGGAAATATTATAATCGCTTACAACACACGAATTAATATTCCCCTACGAGTTTGTTATAAGTTTATAACCACCGATTTTCCATATATCAGCTATACAACAATAGCATAATATATCTACCTCCCCTAAGTCAATTGCCACCCTGTATATATATATATTCACACTCTACCGTCTTGTACACGCCATTTACGCGTGTAATAAAGCGTGCACACCACCGCTGCGCATGATATAATACATAATAGAACGCATCGCGTCTTCTTCCGGAGAGGATACCGCAACGACACGCCTTCTAAAATGGCATTAATCCCGGGACAGCCGCGTGGAGGTGACCCAGGAACAAGAAAACACGAATTCGATTTACAATAATAATTCAAATAATAATTATGATATTATATTATTATAAACTGCTGCAGTTGTATGTACCTACGCGTGCAGGCGACTGAGAAACTATTATCGAGCGGCTTTGGCGAGGTATAGGCTCGACACGAGGTACGTCGATATAGTATATGTAATATTTTACCCTACCTCACCCTCCATCATTTTTTTTATTTAATTTTTCCCAGCGCGTAAAGTGTATAATATTCAAACAGTGTACTTTCGCGATGACGAAAAAGCGATGAAACGTATATTCGTTTTAAAAATTCCATCGGAATATAGCTGCTGCTACTACAGCTTATATAATTTTATACAATTATAAATAACCGAACGTTAAGCAGTATTATTATAAGAGTGACTTATATATAATAACTAATAACTATATAGTTAAAAGTTGTTATCAATAGTATAATTAAGTACTCTATAATCTTTACAGTAGAACTTAATCGAATGAACCCGAAATATACTTTCATTGGCAAAAACACTATTTATACAGTTTACAGTAAGGTTAGGTTAGGCTAGTACAATCAGGTACATTTCTGAGTAGATATTATTACGTGTAATGTATAATATAATTATGGTGTACTCATAGTTTCATAAAATGATGTATTACGTACATGGATCATAAGATATTATATTCTAGAATATATAGAGGAAACTGCTACAAATAGTCTTGTGAATATGAATAACCCATTGAGGATAATAGAAACAATGCTTATTCAAACGATCTAGAATAATATTTAAAAGAATACGAAATGTTTTTCAAAAGAAATTCGTGAGTTTCGACTTAAAAATGCATAAAGCATACACTGCGAAATAAAACATTTCTTTTAAAATAATAATAATAATAATATTATTATTATTATTAACGTCTTAAACAATCAAATCAGAACAATAGGTTTTTTTTAATCTCGAGAAAAAAACCATAGCAGGCCTGTGGTCGAAACGTCGTCTCTATACATTTTGTGTAATGGTCGTCTCCCACCCTAAACTTGTAAATGCATTAAAAAGTCAATAAGGCAATCCGCGTTTTTATTTTCCCCATATTATTATTTAATTCTAGTATGTCTAATGTATATTGCTACTATGGATATACAATGTACAAAGTGTACATAATATTAAATAGGTAGGAGTACAGAGTTTTATTATTCAATAATAATTTTATGACACAAACGACTGGAAATTTATACCGCACCAGAAGTTCTTAGGCGAATCTATGTGGTGTTATCTTCGATTTGTTAGTTATTATAATAATTACCTATAAATTAGTAATTACTATCGATAATATAGGAAAACACAACAAAATTCTCTCTAAAAGTTTAAAGTCTATAATGTTATATTATAAAGTAAGTTCTTAAAGTTAACACACAGGTATAGCTATTTTATAATGTACACTCGTGTTTGCGGTACAATGAAGTTACTCATCGGCGTTTGTATTATAATATATTATTATATTACGCAGTAAGTTTCATTTTTGACAGCAAAAAGTTTTTGCACAGCAGTAGTTAAACAACTACAATAGTCTGAACAGTTTAAAAATAATGTGTACACTGTACCTGTGTACAGTTATAATGTGGGACAACAGATTTTGCAGTTTCCCCGAGGAAAAAAAAAACTAGGAACCCTGCGTATAACACGTTTATCAATCGTATCATCGTGATATTGTAATAATATTAAATGACTAGAACTGTACTTTTGCATTGCTGAAACGTGTTCGTATAATCGTACATGTACAACTTGATTTTTTGATTATAAGAGCGACATTCATAGAATATTATTATTATATAATCATGATTTAAGGTGGTAACAGATTACGATATCGTGGCATGACACACAAAAATAATTGCAATTATTGCAGGTCGCCGATTTTCAAGCGAAGATTTTCTTTTCAATAAATTGAGTTGAGAAATTTCTATATAATTTTTAACAAGTGTCGTACAAAATCTTCCATGCACTATCGTTTAATGCGTGTATGTACATTGTAGGTAGGTTGTATATAATAATAAAGTTGTTGACGCCGTTGCGTTTTACGGTAAAAGCGACGGCAATGGGTTGTTTTATTAGGGCGAGCGCGGCGACCTCTTCGACAAACGGCCTTGACCGTTTTGACGTTGTCAAAAAACAGCGACGGAGATGACGCCAGCTTCGACGACGGAGAGGTAAAACTTTCCGTGAGGGGTAAACCTAAATGCGAGAGCCCAATGATAATTGTAATTATAATTGGTCCACTAAAAGGATATCATATTATATTTATATACCATCCATAGTCGCATTAATAAGAGAGAAATTAGAGGATTACGCAGCTACAATAATATAGTGAAATATAATAATAATAAAAACTAATAGTGTGTGTTAATAAAAAAGTATATGTCAGGATTTTAGGTTCAAGTTCGTTTTACAACAAATAATTTATTTTCTTGATCATTTATATTTGATATTTGTATGTGTTTTATTAACTCACTTTATTTATTTTATTAATTTTGGTTGATTTTATAATCTTAAAGTTACGACCGTATTTATCGGTTTATGGTAACTAAAACAACTGATATAAATACAATCTGCAATCGTTACGATATTTATAATCATTATTATATTCATTATTATTACAAAATAATTATTAAATATCTAAATAGATGATAAAACTAATAATAAAAGTAATAGTATGTGCCTATGTATTTCATTATTGTATATGTACATAGATGTAATCAACTTACACTAAATAATATTAAAACGTCTCATTAATCCACACTAATTATTAAATAT